TCAGCAGCAGTAGTAGTAGTAGTGGTGGTGGTGGTGGTGGTGGTGTTGGTAGTGGTAGTGGTNNGTTGTTGTTGTAGCCGCCACGGACCAGACGGCCGCGAAGCTAGTGGAAGCATGGGAACAGGCTGCGGGTCCCTTAACCAGGCTCTCTCTTCTAATTCTGACTGTAAGGGTTGGTCCCACTTGCGAGCCATGTGCTTCCAGGCGAACTAAGCCGGTCTGGTCTGCCAGGTCCCGATTCCTGGACCCAGCTACTGTCTGCGGCATTGTCCACTGGGTAGGCGGTGGGGTTTCCACCTTCCGCGGTGGAGAGAGTCACTTCAGCTTGCTGTTGTGGCGAAAAACAGAGGATGGCGCTACTTCCGGAGCACTCACACAAATATTCTGACTCATATCAGAAGGAGGACGTTCAGGCACGTTTGTCACAAGCCATGTGCAGCACTGTGCCAGCTTTTTACCGACGGCAGCTGCTAGCGTCGGACTAGGTCAGAAGGTCACGCGCAGGAGTCGCGCTTTGGCTTCGCCCGAGCCTCAGCCTGGGGCAAAGCCCACCACCGACCTGCACGGCAAGCCGTCGACGCCACTGACAAAGCAGCTGGAGATTCTTATGCCAGAGATTTTGTTTGACCTGTTCGAGTACGCTGCCAGCTGGTGGAGCCACGGGCTACCCCAAAGGAAGTGGGCTCGAAGGAACAGGTGGCATGGTGGTGGTGGGTGGTTGTCGGTTGTTGGTTGTTGGTTATTGTTGTTACATCCTGACAGCGAAACTCAGGGTTCTCTCAGGAGTTGACTTCACCGAGTACGTACACATAATTCTCAGCAGGGGGCACAGGCACATGGTGGTACCTGTGCCAACGAAACTATCCACCATGGGGGAAGCGGAGACTGATCATCTCCGTGTGCCTGCGAACAGTTTGTGATCGTTCAACAATGCCTGCTGTACATGGTTGTGACACTGCACCATCATTATATGTGCTCAACCTGGACATGGCGAGGGGCTAAGCCAGAAACCCCAATTCGATTGCATATGGCGAGGGGCCAAGCCGGAAACCCCATTTCGATTGCATATGGCGAGGGGTTACGCCAGAAACTTCAGTCCATAGCTTCGGAGGAAGCTGACTCAGGCATTGGTCCCGTGGCTCACTCAGAATTTGGCGAGGACAACACTATGACAGATAGGAGCAATCAGCATCACCACTAGTGCAGACTTACTTACTGTTGTCGGGACTCCAGGCCCTGCCGGCACACCCCTGCTTGGTGTGCTGTGATCCGTACCTTGGCGTGGACGGCGCAGTCGTAATTGAATCCTCGTACGGATATACACCAAAGTCAGACTGTTGTGGAATTTTGTATAAGTGATTGTTTTCGTAGATGGCTGGAAAAGGGTTATGCCCTTCACTACCTTGTTCATACAAGAACGTGCATTCAGCAACAGGTGGTGCAACCGTGTTCGGTTTGCCCATACTAGCTTCAGCATCTCAGTGCCACGCCAAAGACGTCAGAGTGCGTGTGGTGATCGAACAGTCAGGCCCAGCCTCCCAATCAAGCCTAGAGTCCACAGAGCATACGCTCATGACATGCATGACATGAGGTCAGTTTTGTTCTAGCTTCCTGGTTGCCCTTTTGGTTCGCCATTATCACGCTGTAAGCTCGCATTTGATGACTCGCGATCTCGACCATCCCATCGTTGTGCATGCTCTTGCTCATGTTGTTGATGATGTTGATTACGACATTTGTGGATTCATCGCAGTGTTTCAGCCTCGACTGGTAGATGATCTGTCAGTTAACATGGATGATGAGCTCCTGCCTACCATCGGTGATCGACTTATGCCGTTTCTGGTCCTGCGCCACCACCTGATCTTCTTTTACGTATCACCACATATTTATGACTATCATAAGCTCATTCTGGATTACATGAGTCATGAAGACCCTTTGAGACACACGAGCCACACAATTACCAGGCTATTTGAACAACAGTGCCTGCAGTTGCTTCGAATGAATCCTTTGGCCGTGCAGGGAATGATCCAGACACCGTACATCCATGGCGCTACGCTTTATGCTCCAGTACGTTGCTTTTGTTGGACCAGCGGAATGCCTGCTTGTCGTGCTTGCGGCTGTCAATCGTGAGTGGTACTGCGCTGTTACCAACGTTGTAATACGTCGACCGTTTATTGATGTTTAAAGACTGGTCCGCATTTCTCGCTTGCTGCACTTTGTGTATGTTTGTGACTTTCGGTTTGAATATAGTGAAAGTAACCAACAAGCCGTCTCCGTTGTTCACGGGGTCTAGAACGATCAAGGCCAGAAGCCCATACGTTGTCTGGTAGACATGTAAACATTAGCAAATCGACTTCGGCCTCTTCTCTGTCAAGGCCAACAAATAAGCATCTCTGAGTATTGCGCTGGACGGTCAAATATGGAAACGAAAGCAAACGGATTCTGAATTGCCCAGCAATGCACGCACTGATGTACAGCATGATGAACGGAACAGCAAGTAGCTGCAATCAAGCAACATCTGACCGAACAAAGCTGAGTGATCATAACCGTAGTGTACAATGTTCGGTTCCCAATGGCAGTCTCTAAGCTGGTGGTCATGACTTGTAGCTGTCCGAACCGTATGTGTGATCATCGCCGTCATCAATTCTATGACGGTCTTCATTGTCCTCCTCGTCGAGTTTGCTGACAAAGCTGAGTTGAGCGTTCACGACGACCACGAACGACATGATGCATTGTAGATCTTCTACAGAAAGTCGCTCCATGTCTAACAATTGTCAGAGGATCAAAATCTGAGCCACAACATCACTGGGTAAGTACATTCCTGACGCAAGCATAAACGGCAAGAAGCTGTTCACACCGACACCACTCTTTGACTGTGAGGTCCGCAGCACAACGTGTACTAATTAAGTTCGAAAGAATGAAGGATTTGTAATTGAGGAACTGGTAAAAGTTGCGCATCCACTTCTGCATCCCCTCTCTTCGGGCTTTCATTAATAGAACAAAAAGTATTGCGTAGCAACGCAGCGGAAACTAGGGACGCAATGCGAAAGCGGGTTGCTCCTTCCACATGCAGTTTAACAGTTTAACGGCATGCTTCAATGATTGGCACATTGCTCCCAGCATGATACATTTCCAGCAGGGGCCAACTTGTTTGAACACTACCGTAGTCGAAATAGAACGGAAGCTGGATGTACTGTTCACTTTATCTTCAGCTACTTCAGCTTCAGAAAGTTTAAGGCAACGAGATCAGTCATGACGTGTGAAGTCGCCTGGACATCGTCTCGGCGAGTTGCCTGACTAAGGAAGATGATGGTCGTCTCCGATGTGACCAAAAACGACGCAATCGACCGCTGATGTTCCACAGAGAGCAAATCCATGCGCAAGACCGTGGGCAGTCAAATCCACTTCAACAGGCTTCGGGCAGAAGTGCATGGTCGCTGGCACATTGAAGTCATGAAGTCAACAACGCAAAGACAGAGGCATGCTGCAGTTGACAGTTGTGTAGCGTGCAATTCAGACGATGCACTCAGTACTGGCAGAGAAAGTCAATGCAATGCTAGAGTGCTAGAGAGAAGAAGATCACACATTCGTAGATACATGATGTGCATGAACGGTGATCAGCGCGGTGATCTGGAGCGCTGCTGTTTGTGGACTAACTCGTAACTCGGTATCTGAGGCGCGACTGCGATTGCTGGATTCAGCATCAGATCTCCGACCTCGTGCAGCAATGGATGCACGAAAGGGAATCATGTCCCGTGGCTGATGAAGTAGGCATGTACAATGGTTACGCAATTCACGTCCTCGAGCACAAACGCTTGGGCACATCTCGCAGTAAATTGCGCAGGAACACTGACTGCGAAGATATTCTTCGCTCCGTCCAATGATCTCGGCCGCTCGAAGCAACAATCTCTTCGTCAACACTGGAGGAGTACTGGCAAGTGCAAGTTGCGCAACTTGTTGAGCGGAGTCTTCAAACTGCTGATCATAAAAATGCCACATGCGGCTCAGGCTCGTTTTGAAACTACCTAACACCTCATTTAAAGCCTTTGTCAGTTGTAACGATTTGCTTTGCGGCATTATCGCAGACGCTTGTTTTGCATCCATATAACGTCTGGCCCTCAGTTCGGCATATGCATCACGCATGTTCTGTCATGTTTCATGCTGGGTGTTATGAGTGGTTTTTGCGACTCAGAATAGTTCAAACCGTGCTACGGATCGAATCCAGTCCACAGAAGTGCACGACGATTGCACTACGCCTCTCTGATGTACAGGTCAGTCGACTTGAGATCATCGTTTGCTTACGACAAACGTGTTTGTTTCAACCCATTCCATGTGGTTACATTCATTGTTACCTTTGCTCATGCTGAACTGACTGGTTCATGACAGTTGACGTTTGGCTTCTGATTTCTAATTGTCATCATGAATGTGGCCGGACCTCGACCATGCCAACAGTCGATGAGTGAGCAGCTTCTGGACTCCCTTACGCATGAACATCGCCTGTCGTTTGCATGTTGACAAGCAGTCCTATGCGAGCAGCTTTCATTGAGCTTCTTCGACTTCGCATCTGCCAGGACACGGATCATCTTGTGCAGAATTATCTTTCGTCGACTGCACATCTAACCACTAACCCTTCTTCCTCCCTTCCCGCCTCTTCTCTCTCTGTCTCTCTGTCTGTCTC